TTGTTGGATTTTGTTTCCTAATCCACTGTGCCAGTCTATTTCTCTTAATTGGTGAATTGAGTCCATTTACATTGATGGTTAGAATTGAGATGTACTGGCTTTCAGTTGACATGTTATTTACCTGTTGGTGTTTACTCCTTTTTCTCCAGTGTTTAATTGCTTGCCCTATTTAGTTGGTTGCTTCTGATCTCATTCGTGGAGTTCTGATCATTTTGGTCCTTCTCTATAACATCTTTCAGTAACCTGTGTAGGGTTGACTTTGTCATCATGAAATTCTTTAGCTGTTCTTTGTCATGAAAGTATTTCACTTCTTCATCAAACTTGAAAGAGAGTTTTGCAGGATATAGTAGTCTGGGCTGGAATTTGCTTTTATAGAGGACTTGAAGTACTCTGCTCCATGCTTTTCTTGCCTTCATGGTTTGTGAAGAGAAGTCGGCCATAATTCTGATGGGTTTTCCTTTCATTGTGATCTGCTTCTTTTCTCTAGTGGCTTTCAGTATATTATTCTTGTGCTGAATTTCTGGGATCTTGACTATTATATGTCTCAGTGTGTTTTTCATTGGGTTGAGGTTCTTTGGCGTTCTATATGCTTCAGTTACCTGAATGTCAGATTGTTTCCTCATATTTGGGAAGTTTTCTGCTATTACTTCTGCCCATATTTTTTTAATGTCATTTGTATCGACTCCTTTCTCTTTGATGCCTATTAGTGTCACATTGTTCATCTTTGCATCATCTTGCAGGTGATGGATTATTCTTTCTGCATCCTTGTTGTTTTTAAGAGATCCTTTCTTACCTTTTCACTCGTTGCACCAGTGTCTTCAAGATCTGAAACTCTGTCTTCACTTTCACTTAAATGGTTTTGTAAGCTTGTGATTGAGATTTTAATTTCCTCTATATCCCTTTGACTCTGCTTCATAGGATCTATTTCTTTCTTGTATTGCTCATTCAAGCAATCCGTCATTTTTCTAATCTCCTCTATTTTGTTTTTTAATCAATGTCTTCTTTAGAAGCAATTATAAATTCTTTTACTGTAGTGTTTTTTTCAGATTGGGTTTCCTCCCTATGTTTCTGTAGTTGCTTCTTTACTTCAGATGCTATGAGTTCTGAGAATTCTTTTTTTATTTCAGAAAAGAATTGTGCTCTGAGTTCCTCTATAACTTTCTGCTGTTGCTTATTTACTATTGACGCTGTTAATTCATGCCTTTGAG